CATGCATGCATGCACACCCGAGTGCATACATTGACACACATTATGTTGTATTACTGCATTACAGTATGTTCTCTCAAGTGCAGTACATCCATAATTGCACTGCGCTACAAAACATTTCATCAGGCCCCATGTGAAATGCATCGTCTATCCTGCAACCTGCACCATGCACCACACATCATACATGACGCTACAATACCTTGCAGCAGATTACACTACATTGCTGACTACATTCCACTGCTGTACTTTGCATTACGTTCGGCTACCTTACAGTACACCTTGCATCACACCCTTCCTCGCAAGAAGACACATTAAATACATGACATGCTTTGCATACCTTACAGCAAGCTGGGTTATGCTAGTCTGCGTTATGCTGCATTGCATTCTACTGCGATGCATTGCGTTGCATCAAACTACATTATGCTGCATAACACAACATTCAGGGTATGCTGTTGTGCTTATACACATGCACTGTTTGCGAGCATGTGTAAGTGCGTGCATAGCTCTCTATGTTTGCCTATGGATGAATGTTTATATGTACACATATATATATATATATATATACACACACTTACACATACATGTTGTTCGAAGAGGTTTGGATCCCGAAACCAGAACCCTAAACCCCCAGACCCGAATTTATGATTCTCGAACCCTACAACCCACAACAACGCCAAACTTGAATCGTAACTGCACCCAAATCCTAGACAAAAGCTTCAACCATGAAACCCTAAACCCTAAACCCTAAAACTCAGTGCAGCTCGGGAGCTCTTTGCGTGGTAGAAAATGGGAAAAAGTCCAGAGAGTCTTGATCTCTCCTGAAATCCGTTGAGGGCTTAGCAGGTTCTACTCTAGGGGCTCAGGCTAAGGCGGTTTACGGTCCATGTCAGTATCAGGATTGCGGTATGGCTTAAGGGCCTGATGCAGAGATATAGAAATTGATCACTGTTCAATGTCCCTACCTGAACCCTAAACCCTAAACCCTACTATAAGTTTGACGTTCACAGTGGAGAGAGAACCCACTTCTTTCAGAATCATCTAATGCAGGGGCCTGAATGATTAGAATAGGGTTTGGGGAGAGGGCTCCTTATTATAATTGTAGAATCTACCCCCCCAAAAAAACCCTATTCTAATTATTTAAAGCCCTGATATTACTTAGTAGTATGGTCTCTATGACTTTATGGTCTTCTGAGTGTCGGCAGGAGCTTCCTCGAACCGCCCGGCCACCAAAGACTCTCGACACTCGATCCTGGTCTGCCTCCCGCAAGAACCCTATTCTAGAACCTTAGAGTACCCTTAAAGTGAACCCTATTATAGAACCCTTTAGTACGACCGTATTATAGAACCCTATTGTTTCCTTGGGCTCCTTTCAGAATCAGGCAACCCCGAGCGATACATCCCGAAGATCCTAAAATCCAACGCCCCAAGCCTCTTAACCGACGAAGCCCACTTGGAGGCCCTTTTGACTTAGTAAGTCTACTTAGTATCCGCCAGGAGCCCTATAAATTATAATCCCCATAACCCACCTTACTAACCCTACT